TTTAGAAAACCTATAGAATACTTAAGGTTACTAGGGTAATTACTGGTTCCTATAGGGCAAGAATGAGATCTCATTTTGGTGAATATCATGTATTGCAATGTGGCATGCATTATATTAGGGAAAACAGCTGCCAAAGTCATTCTGTAATCAGACTTGGGACCCAATACATAGATGACTGTATGAAATGTCATGACCTGCTGGTCAGACCTAGATGATTTCACAAGTTTCTTGTGGCCTTAAAACCTTAAAAAATAGTCTGAACTGAAACATCCACCTAGATATGTGATTTTGCTCTAAAACTTCAATCGTGATATAAAGACATAGGAAAAACAAACTGGCAGAGCCAAGAAAAGAAATTAAATCTTTCAATTCTACAGCCATTTCTATCTGCAGTTTTACTTACATATTCATATACAAGATGTGTATGACATACGCAACCCTCTTTCCAAAGAGTACTAACCCCTAACATACAAGTTCACTTAAGTCATGCATATTATCCTTATTTAATACTGACATGCATTACAATCCTTAGTCATTATTACCTCTATGTGTTTTTTAGTTCGGTTTTAACCCACAATTGCTTGACAAAAAAGTAGCTTTCTAATGGGAAAGTTGGTAAATATTTAAAAGTAACAGAAGTTAATTTACAAAAAATGTTAAGTCTTATAAAGCCAGGATATTTTTAACACCAAAGATGACACTCTCATTCTTGTTTAAAAAAACAAAACAAAACAAAACAAACAAAAAAAAACAAACAAAAAAAAACAAACACACAAACAAACAAACCAACCACTATGCACAAACATCTCAAAGCCAAAGACTTCCATCTTCTCTGGCATCAGCACTGTGATTTAAAGAACACATTAATCAATCATTTATTTAAACAGTATGAGAAATATTCCAAAATCTTAGAGTCTAAGCTTTTTCTGGAGAGGGGGAAATGAAGACAAGGTATCTGGAAACAAGTACCATTATTTGAAATAGGTATATTTAAAAAGGTTTCAAAAGAAATACTAAGTATGACACAACTTGTTCTCTGAAGTTAAGTTTTCTGAAAGGGAAAGAGCTGTTCTCTGAAACAGGCTGCTACTAAGATGGTAAAGGAAACTATAGAGTCACAAAACTAAAACAGATGTATGATACTATTTCCAAGTTGAAATAATTGTCAGTGCTTCAAGATGGATCTCATTCTTAGGAAATTATTTTATCTCATGTTCTCCAAGGGTTTTTATCTAAAAAATCTGCCAAAACAAGTCTCTGCTAGGTCACTGTCACTACATCCCTCCTCAGCTTCCAATGGAGAAGTTTCTGTATGCCAAGAACCAAAGTGCTGTGAACCACATACTTCTGGTGACTTTCAGGAAAAGCATCAGCTTTACTATATATTTACTCAAAAGCTTCTTTAGCAGCTATTTCTACTTTCAAAACAGCATTATCAATAACTCTCTTCCCAGAAAATTTTTAGCATGGAGTGTGTTCAGAAGTCACTCGAACAGGTAGAGATTCACAATCAGAAACATTATCATGCTTTTTTCAGAAGATATCGTTCTATCACATATGTTCTCACAAACCATAGAGTTCTGGTATCTCATTTTGTCTGTTGAAGAGTTTTTCCCTTATTTGCAGAAGACAAAGCAGAAGCACAAATAGTCTTATGTTTTCTAAAACTCAGGAAGCATTGAGCCAAATGTGTTTGCCAGTGTATCATAAGAAAGAAAAAAATTGTTCCTCATACACAGATATGTAACCACATTTTATACAGCATGGAAAACTGAAACTCTTTGACTAGTGGTTTAACATTACTTGATGATTTCTCTTTAGAGAACTTGATTCTGTCTGAAAAAAAAACCAAAAAACACACACACACAAAAAGAAAAAGAACTTTCATCTTCACAGAAGTTATTAACCTTTCCTCTTCACAAGGACAGTTTGAAAACACCTAAGACAAAGTTTACTGCCTGGCATCTCACGATTTCTTAAGACATGGTGGATGATTCTGACTTCCTCTCCAGCAATGCCTGCTGAGTTTAAGAAAGTTAGCAGCAAGGGGAAAAACATGGATTCTTATTCTTTATCCATCACTACTTCTCAATTGTATCTCAGAAGCCTGAAACCCATAAATGATTCAGTATGCTTGTCCAGAGGTAAAACACAAATGAAATGGCTTATACATTAAATCAAGGAGTTCCTAAAATGAACCTAACTCCTCAGCAAAAAAATTACAGGCTTCAATTTCTATTTTGACAGAAATCTTCTGACAGCCTTGAAACATATATGGCTGCACCTTCTGATCCAGTCATGACCAGCATGAATGCCACTTTCCATTTGACATATCAAGCACAATTTTTTAGACCAAATAAACCTGTTTCTCAAAATAGGACACGATAGTGATATCTATTCTTCAAACTAGGCACAGCAAAGCTTCAGATTTTCTCAATAAATTTAAGTAGAGGAATAAATACAACATCTATGACTACTTCTCTGTGCTTTCTTTCCATGTGTCCTGCCCTCTTCAAAGCCTGAAAACACCTATTACAGTCATCAATACCGTAAATCCTGCAGCTTACTCTGCTGCAGTCACTCAAAGACACTGTTCTAGTTATTTCATGAGAAGTAACACATGAAGTTGCCACAAGTGTTCCAAGAGAATTGAAAAAAGGAAACTTCAGAAAGTTAAACCACCACAGATAAAGAAAACTTAACATATTTGCTTCAGCAAAACTTACCTTCATCATGAACTCAACCATCTTTTTCTTTATTAGCAATACTTCTGAATAATTATCTGTGTGTGTATTTCTAAAACCCTATGTATATTTTCAGCTACAGTCAAAGGGCACAGAGCAAAATCACATACCAGGCAGAAAAGTAATTCATTTCTTCTTCTAAAAAGCAGAGGAATACTCATCTGAACAATCAGTTAGAAACTTACTTAATTTACTCCCCTAATGCAGAATCAGTGTAATGTATTTCATCTGCTTGAAGCACGGGATGCTGTCCGTACCTAAAATTCTTCCAACAGAATGTTAAATAATGTATGTCTGTCAAAACGTGGGAAATAGAAAAGCTGAAAAGTAGTTTTGGGGTTTTTTTTTTTAGTTTGTTGTTTTGGGGTTGTTGGGTTTTTTTCCCTTTCAAATCTTTACTACAAAATAAAAAAATAATACTGGAGTTACATGGCTTTCCCAGTAGTGAGTGTGGCTGAACATAAATGTGTGCCTTTAAAACAAATTTACTAAAGTCACCATATACTCTGAGAAACTCATTCCGATCTAAAAAATAATATCAGTCTTATTTTTGAGCTTAGTACAGTCTTCCAGCTTTGAGACAGGTCTGACTAGAGATCACCTGTAAAGAAATTTTAATTAACAGAACACCTGTGATGTTTTGGTACCCTGTACTGCAATAATTCAAGAGATTATCTTGTTAGCCAGCAGTACTTTCAGTTAGCTGGCTAGGCTGTTCTTGGTGATGTGGGAATGAAGAACTCCTTTACTACAGAGCCCTTTTGCTGTGGTTCACAGGAATCAGAAATAACTTTGCTAATGTTTTACCACTTGAAATCTTTTTCTTCTAGTGGATTCAGCACCAATTCCCTCGAGTACTCAATACACTGATTTATTAGGGTGGGAGGTTCAGCTGCAAAATACATGACCAGGTATAAACTAGCAATATCATCACAAAACCCAACAACAGAGAAAAATTTCTCACTATTCAATACTGTGTTTCACATTCTAACAGGCAATAGGCAGAGTATCTTCTACCGATATTACTTTCCTGTACATTTTTTCAACATCAAAGAGTAAAAAGCTAATGTGGCTGTTTTTCTTCAAAATAATACAGTAACAAAGGCTGAAACACTGGTACATGCCCAAGTAATGCTCTTGTCCTAGAAAAGAATATGCATATCAACATCTAAACCATAGGCAACTCCAATACATCGACATGCCATAAATCTTACGACAAAACTCCACATTACAACCTTTCCCACACTCCTCTTTTCAGAGCCAGAAAACATGACTAAGCTTTAACACTCAAGACAGAAAACTGGTACATATCAAGAAGAAAAAATGCAGAGCAAAGTCACAAAGTTTATAAAAACCCAATGACTCAACAGCTATTACCCCAACAGTGTTACATATCATAAGCTGAATTCATACATTAATTTTACTAAAGCAGCAGTGAATGTCTTAGGCAGGGAAAGAATAATATAACTGGAGAATCAATTTAGACACCTTCAGCAAGGAGAAAGCTGACTGAAAACTGCTATCTTTTAATGTGTCTCTTTGCAATACCTGTTGCTGCTGTTGAGCCAAATGAGGTAGCAATGGAAACCAGGCGTTTTCATGAACACAAATGTTAACCATCTCCTGATGTGCAAAGAGGCACTAAGCAAAGTATCAGAAACTCAGCCCACAAAAATTTACATTAAAATGTCCAAACCTGTCCTATCGGAATCAAGCAGAGAATCCCACTAAAGACCTTTCTTTCAAAAATTTCTAATACTTTTTGTTTAATCATTTAAGGGTGAAAGCCTCTGTCTCTACTCAATTTTGTGCCAAAATAATCTCAGCGTCAAGTTTTACGCAAAAAAAACCAAAACACACGTAGATGTTACATTTAAAAAAATCTAGGATTCTTACAAATCCTTTTAACTAAAAAGTCTAGGATAATACATCTTCTCCACAACTTATTTGCCTATAGCTCTTATATGCCATGCCTATATGCTGTAATTCTACATGCAGGCTGCCAACAAGAAAAGGAGAGCAGCATTAACAGTAAAGAGTGAAAGTGGAGAATAAAATGAACAATTCAATTAAATTATAATAATGTCATTGTAGGACAGCACATGGAAGTATATTAAGACTTTAAGAAATATTTAACATTCTTTGCAATATGCATTTGTGAATGAAATTATTTAGATACCACCTATGAAGCTTTTGTTAAAAAAACATTAAATCATATTACTATTTTCTAGCCTGTTGGACGCAGCACTTGCATACCTGTTCTTTAACTGAAGCTAGAATGGCAGAGGTTGTCTCAGTTTCAGAGCCATCACCATTGGATGTGTTCAACACAGGACTAAGGGAACTTGTCTTGTCAGAAGACGAGGGCTGGTCTGGAACAGGCATAGTTTCTGCAGTTTATGGAAGCACAAAACAATGATTTAGTTATTAGAAACCAGATACATATCAGAAATTTTATGCATATAAGACTAATAACACTAATTTAAGGAAAAAAATGTAGAACGTGCTTCAGTTTTGCAGTATAGAATATATCACCTATTTAAAACTAGTTCTGAATTAATTATAAAACAAAATATTAAATTATTTCCCAGTCTTACTCAAAAATATTTACTACAGTACATCTGGAAAGGATTCAAATCATTTACAGCTGTGATTTTTGTATAGTATTCCAGTGGCAGCATCCAATATGAAATTACAATATCATGAAAGCAATGAATCACAAAACGCTTTGCACAGAAAAACAACAAATGATACAGGAAAGAAATATAAAACATTTAGTGTTGACTTTCTAACGTGCATGACTATTTAATATGTGTTGTATTTCAAGCCTAGGTAACTAACTTTGCCCTTCTTCTAGTCTAGAAGGTGATTTTGACAACATTTTACCAGAGTATTTTTGAGAAAAACAGCACAGCATTTGTTAAAGTAATTTTTGAGACCTGTTACAAAAAAAAAAAATATTCTTAGCACTAGAATTTCTAGTACTTTTTTTTAGAGAGCAAAATGGCAGTGGTGACTGAAAGCTACACTACAGTGTAGCATCTCTGTTTAAATGTCACTGTAGGCAATGTCATTCTACACGCAAGTTGTGTCACATTCCAGAAGTAAAGTTGCAGAGAGGCAGCCTGCACGGTTATGCACAGGCAAGTCAGGATAAGATCATGTTCATGTGGGAGCTGGCCAGAACTATTCTGTGGAAGAGAACTGTCCCACATCTGCCAGCTGTCCAGGCCTCCTGCGGAGCTTTGGGGATATTCAGAGGGATGTCATCAGAGGGGTCATACATGCACAGAACTTGCCATTCACATCAATGGCAAAACTCCTGCCTTGGCTCCATGTGCTTTTCAAAGCTCATGTTTTTATAAAATACAACTTTTTCTGGAAGAAATAAGAAGTCTGAAAAGCATGGGAAAGGGTAGTTGGTAAAAGTAAATATACCCCACTACATTTTGCCATGGAAATTAGGGCTCTAAAAGAAGGGGAGGTGACATCCTATAAGGCTTTGGCTCTGAAGCCACAGTGCTGCCCAAGAATACTCATTCAGCCCAACTGGGCAGCTTTTTCCAAAAGCTTCCTGAAGCTCAGGACACTGGCATAAATACATAAGACAAAAACATGCAAATACAGATTAGTCATTAAAGAGTCAGTTATTTCTCGTAAGAGAAATCTCCCTAAATCTCAAGCTAGACTAGTTTATATATTGAAGCATGAGATTATTTATCAGTTTAATTCAAGAAGCTAAATATTTTCATACATCTCACTTTTTATAAGCAAATCACTGAAAGTGGTAAGTACTCAGTCTTTGGCTCTGGTAACATCGTTGCCCCAGATACATACACTACTTGAAATTAATCTTTAAAAACTCAGATTATATACCCGTCCTCCTCTATCACAAGTATAGAGTACAAAACTTTTATAAGATCCCAATACATCAACCTAAATGGACTTCTGAATTACATTTTCTCATTTTGTGAAACAAAGGAACCGTCTTCTATTATAACAAGTTACCTAGTTTGTGGCATGCAATTAAAGTTGCTACTCTCCTCCAAAGTACCACAGAAAAGACATGTACTCACATACATGCTTATTCTATTCCATTACTTTCAAACAACCTAATTATTTGCTTTTTTTTTTTTACTAGATTATTAATTGCAGTATCATAATCAAAGGCAAAGGGATTTTCTTTTTGAAAAATACAAATGGTCAGATAGTTCATTTTGTAGAGCTATATTTGTGGAAAACCCTAGAGTGCAACACTCCTTGCTATCAACTCCATACCCTCTAAAGTCCAGCTGAAAATTGTGCACAGGAATGAGAGACCACAGGACTGAGGAACATGAGTCGGAACACGTGAGGCAGTCCCACCGCCCATGCAGACACTCCCCTGGGCAGTGGGAAGCCATGCATCCCGCCCGGGGCGCTCACCAGGGAGACACGTGGAACTACAACAGCAAGAGGAGCAAAGAACTGCCTCCCAAAGACTGCACTTGGTGGGAAGAAACATCAGAGCTGTCAAAGAGGTGTCTGCAAAATAGTTTCAGACACACTGGGCAGGAGTAGCTCACCTACTGCAGGATCGTCTTCTCTGCAGTTGCAAAGAAGCTTCCAGGAAAAAGCCCCTTTGTCTGCTTAGCTTGTCCTCATGCTCCTCCAGGGCTGCCTTACCCCTGGCAGGGAGACTCTGCTGAATTGGCTGTTTCATAAACACTAGGCCCGAAGATGTAAAACCCAGCAAACTAAACCAGGCTAGGAGTCAAAACCACTCCTTGGTCCCGCTCCCAGATCTGCAGATAATTTTCATATGAGGTTCACTTAGATTCTGCTCCTCAGGTGACAAGTTAAGAGGACTTACCTGCTCCATCCAGCCTCAGCTCCCTACCACAGGACACAGTTACTAGGCCTGACTGGGAAGACATCAACGCCACCTGGAAGGACACTGGCTGCAGTCAAGGATCCCCTCATTTCAATACGGCACCTTTCTGTATCAGGTAAAATTGGCAGGGTTTTGGTAAGGGTGCATGTTTGGGAGTGAGGTTGCTCCAGGGCGGACCTGTGTTGGGAGGACCTCACCCATCACCTCACCAAAGGCACAACATCTAACATGTAGCAAGGGGATGAGGCACCCGGATGTGTCCACGTCTTATCTCAATGTTCATTTAATTACCTGTCTTCTTTATTTCTCAATATCAAAATCAATAATTTACAGCTTATGTTAATTGGCAACATATCCAATTAAGTGAAATTCCTTGAATCAGGATTCTCAGATTTTGGCCAGAGATGCTCCCTAAGAGCCAGTCCAAAGGAGGCCCACTGCGGCGTAGTTGTTTGCTGTTGCTGTTTTTCAGGAAGATGGGGGCAAATGAGCCTGAGTTGCTGGAAAAAATTATCTGCTACACAAAATGCTTGCTCTTGCAAACACTCCAAAATATTTAAACTGTACTTGAGAGAAACAGTAAAGCTGCACGGTCAATGAGGAAGCTGCTCCTTGACTGAAAAGGTGCTACTGATAAAACCACACCAGTTTCTGTGCATTCAAAACAATTACATCCCTGCAATACAAGCAGCAACTGCCTGCTGCTATCCCAAACTTATTCTGGGACTGTATTCAACTTCAGTAAATTTTATTTTTTTTAGTTACCTAATACTTTGTTTCCACCAGAGAACACTTCAAAAACTGCTTTAGTAATCTATAATTTTTCCAGTAACAGTATACAAGGGGAAAAAATAATCTGATTACACAACCAACTGCTGCAATAAACTGTACTTGCTTCAAATAGGCTCAAAATCTGGACAGAATGGTAGCTAATATAACCACTGCATGTTTCCAGGATTTTGGTTTGGTTTTTTTTGTTTGTTTGTTTGTTGTTTTTTTTTTTATTAATACAGATTATAAAAGAGGAAAAAAAAAGTTTTAGAAAAGGCACACTGCGCGTCCTCTTAATATAGAATCAGAGAAATCACAAGACATGTCTCTGATGTTAAAACTAATGTTTTGCGCACCCATCAAAATATCTCTTCTGCACAGAGATTTCTAGCATCTATCTCACTAGTTCAGTTTATTACTACAGTTGTTAGAGGGGTAAAGGTTGCAGGCAATTGCACTTAGTAAACTAGTATCATTGAATATACAGCACAATGTTATCCAGCTGAGCTGTTAACATTATATATTTCAATATTTTCTCATTACACAAATTCATACAAGAAATACCATATGGAAAGGAAACACAGAATTAATTTTCAAAAGCAACAGAATTAAAAAAATCACGCGTGAATCAGCAATAGCACTTCAACAGCAAACAACAACATAGCAAAGGCCCACACTTGCACTAGTCTACCTGCTCAGAGATGGACTTTTAATTTTGTTCAGTCTTCAGTATAAGAAATTGGACATTCTGAGGTTTCAATGGAACTTAAAACTGCCAGTACTGTAGAACTACAGAAAATAAGGCTGACATGGGCCTCCAAGCCCCTAGACCACTACCAAATGTCTAGAGAAGGCAGATTTTTTTCCTATGTCATTCTGGATATTTAATACACATAACCAGTCCTTACAGCTTCCCTCACTGCAGCTTCCCTTGGCTGCCTCCCTCTGTTCAGAGCTCCACTGGCCTTATGCTTGCTTTAGTGTTTAACATAATACATTTAAGCTTAGCGTTTCGTGTACTATCCAGCATGGACACAAAAAAACAATTAAAAAAAGCATTATCCCACATGATGATGACCACTGTATCTTTCCTTCTGCTCTCGTTTTTCTTCTCTAGAAAAGCTACCCCAAATCTTGTCATTTTTCCTTGTAAAGTAAGCTGGCTGATAGCCTTTTAACACACATTTCTGGAAGCTCAGCACTAAAAACAAAAGGAAAATTAGAGCAAGTATGAGAAGAAAAATAAAAATTAAGCAGTTTAACAGAGTACACCATAGCTGAGTAACTGAAACACAAAAGTAAATTGGCTGCATTTAATTTCCACAACAGCAACAGAACTTCCTATCGGTGTCACAAAAATACAAATGAGATTCTGTAAGTCAGAGCATATACATGCTCCTGAGAGAATCAAATTAAAATCTTAGACGATCACAGATAGATGAACAGGAAAAATACTACCAGCCTTTTGGGAACATACTGGGAAGTCAGACATAAATTATTCATGCATTCCCGTACTCCACAGCACTGGCAAAATTCAATCTGGAGTTTGACCTGCTTTTTTTTCTTTTTTTATTGGTTATCTTTCTAAGAGCATCTAAAAACTTTACCTCACTTCAATGAAAAGAAAGCCAGCCCCTAAATCCAAACAAAACCATCCTCTCTCCATACCATGCACAGGTGCCCAGATGCTGGCAGCAGGGGCAGCCCCTGTGCTGAGCAGCCGGGATGACACATGACACTTTTG